GAAATTAAACCGCATTAATTAGTAGATCGATCGATAGTAACAAGGGACGGGGAATAATTATGATCGCCACTCAAGTGGAACTTCCAAATACTGAGAGACGGCTGTCGAATAACAAAGGGTCTGTCTCGCCGATGAAACGGAATATAATATCGATTCTCACGGAAACTACCGCGAACGCGGGACGATTCGACGGTAGCTGGTTGAAAACGGTCGACGAGCGATAAACCACGTGCTGCAATCCACCGTACCCACAGCGTACTCCAGCCTCGGCGACTCAAAGGTTACGGGTTCTCCGCAGTATTGACCTTCGACTCGAACTCGCACCGGAACTACCAGAACAGACACTCCCTGAAAATCCACCCACGTACGAGTAATTCGGCTACCTGTATCTCGCTCCGCTTCCGCGACTCGGAACGAAGACGCGAGGAAAAGATTGTACAGCCTCCAGAAATAGACCAAATTTATTTAATTCTACGATATAATTCAAAATTGGCTAAACATGGTTTCTATTCGTTTATCTACATTGTCTCGATCGAAACAATGAAAGCGTGCTCGATCGGAAAACGAAGCGTTCGAGTAGCGAGGATGAATCACTGTGACGAGGGCGCAAGGAAAAAACATGACAAGAAAAATACTAAGAAGGTACACGTGCCCGCGTATGCGTACATATGTTCTCTTACTATAGTCGCTCGACCACTGGCGCGAATAAATAAAATATCGTAATCATGGTCACGGTATACCGTATCGACGAATCGATACGCGACAGAGAGCACAACGTTGTGGCGTTCCATCCGTCGACTTCTCCGTCCGTTTCCCTGCTTTCTTTCTCATTCGTAGAAAAATGTAAAAATCCCACTATTTTACTATAGATTCATGTTACTCGCGCCCGATAACCGTATACATCTGTCGCAGTTTTTGCTTCGCTATTTTATCGAAATGCCACCGCGAATAATACACGTGGCTGGTTTTCATCTTCCGCTTCTGACGGTATCTTTTTTTATTAGCTGAACGTTACAGTCGCGGTTACACCAACTTTTACACCAAGTTCTTCCTTTCTTTTTGTTTCAACCTTATTTTCGTCATTGTTGAAATTTACTTTGTTCGTTGTACAATTCGTTGGATCGTAACGCGACGCAAAGTATAATATCGAAGACCATACCTGGCAACGTAACGGTGGCTTTGAGTTTCTGAAATTGCAAACGACGAGGACAACAACGGCCTGCACGGTCGAGGGGCGACCTTTATCGAAACGGGTTGTCGGCTACAGGCCTTTCTCGTCGAGTTATCGGGGCTCGAGACGGCAAAGTAACATAGGAAATCGAGACGGTCGGACGGAAAGTTCTGACGAATGAATATACGCACGTTTCCGCGTGTACGTGCAAATGTACGGAAACAGACCAACCACGACAAAATAATACGACGTTTATCCCGCTGAATCAATGGCTCAGGATCGATTTTTATAGAATGAACCTTTTTCAAACGTAAATCCACTTTCTTCGAGACATTTTTGTTCCATTATCGAGAGATACGTGGAACAGTGAAATTTGTGAAACGCATTCGGCACAAAGTATTGCACAATTCTCGATAACCTTGAGAATTAAATGCACCGTACGCTGTGTACCGAGGAAACCATCGACAACGCGCATAATTTCTCGCGCTCTTCCGTTGGGAGGAGTACGCAGCAGGAATCGGTTTCTGTCTCGTAAATCTGTTCCTCGGTCCTGAATCCATGGTCCTGTAGCGTCATCATCGACACGGAGCCCGTAATTTTTGCGGTAACAGGTCTATCATCGACATCGTTCAACGACGATAGGTTTGTTACGATCGAATATATTAATCACTTAACTCGATTATCCCATTAAATAGCTGACTCGATGACCACGATAAACATTCGTCTCACCCGGCGGCCGATTTTCAATGCTATCTTCGCGTCAACGACAACTTTCCCGTCGATCTTTCCTATTCTCCGTCGTATCGTCGCAGTCTGCCGAGCATGCGAATCAAAAGAAATTTAATCCACAGTACCGCTGCTCGCAATGTACTTAAAATACGTAATTTCACGATTGTTCGCGATGCATTGACAGTCGGGAGAGACGGGCAATAGAAGTCGTAGGTGTTGCTCGTCCCTCGAGAAAATCGAGAAAACATCTTCGTCGGTCGATTATGTGCCGATTCGCGACGATCTCTGACACCCGCGCACCCTTACAGTTCTTTTCCATACGATATACGTAACCCTTCCAGTCAAAGACGCGAAATGGAGTAGAGGGATAAATTGATTTCTTTCGTCTTTTGTAAATGTTTCCCGGTCGTTTCGTGTTTTTCGCGCGCGTCGATGCTCGATTCGCGGCTCACGGCCGAACGATGTTTATGTTCCGACACGGTGCTTGCAAATACAAGGACAGGTAACGCAGACGTGGTAAACGGCTGAGCACGTTACGTTGCATTACAAAACGCGCGCGCACATACGTAGATATGTACATAATGTGTATTCACGAGAACGCGACGTCCGCGGCCGCGCGGTAACGTTGCCGAGTGTGAGCCCTTCTCGAATAAATTCACCCCCTCTCTTTCTCGTAGCTATCGTTTTTCGAAACACGACCATATCGCGACGAACCACTCTTTCGATTCCGCGTTGGTCTTAGTTGCACGGAATTCCCCCAGACGGCGACATCAATGGCGCGCTTCGTTAATTGTTTTCGCTCGGCGGCAGCGTACCATTCTACCGTTAACGGGGAACCCTGTCTCTTTACGGATCTCCATGGATAGTTACCAAAGCCTTCCAACACGCCAAGGCACATTCTAGTCGCGACGCTTCATTTACCGTGTTACTAACGAACAAAAAGCCAAAGCTTCGTTTGGAAAACTGTCGATATGTAGGAAACGATGGCCTAAGGAATGCGAAATTTTGCAAAACTAAAGTACACGCGAATCTTGGCGAATTAAACGCGACAGAAACAGAGGCAGAAACGGAGGAGATACGAGCGGTTCGCGAGTGTTGCAACGTCGCCTCGGGGATTGCCGAGATTGAATTAGATCGCGAGGTCGATAGACCAGAATTTGCGATAATGGCACGTGGGATTTTATGGACACGGCGGTTGTCTTCCCTCGATAGCCAAAGGAGATCGACTCTAAACACGTACGAGACCCGGCTGGCTGGTTGGTGTACGGGGTGAATAAGCAATAAAATCAAGCGTGGTACGGTGCCCGTTTTCTGCATACTTTACGTCTTTTGCGCCGCCCGTCCCGCTAGCTATTCGCCGCATACTTCAAGTGTTCTAAAGGTATGCGCGACTTTTAGATTGGTTCCCAAACACGCTACGTTCTAGGTACAACGTGGTTGATACAACTGCGCTGTTTACACGGGTACTCTCTCTAGATAAATAACAAAACGTTCGGTTTCTCGATTAATAGTATCGGATCATTTTCGTTTTCTCCCCCTCGTTCCTTTCGTAATTTAGCAAGCTATGCAACCCAGTCGACGACGACGAGGACCAAGGCAAGTATTTGGAACGTTCTCGTCGCTTGTCGACTTCGAGTCACGAATTCCTCGCGTCGGCGTCGCGTCGCGCTCTCCGTCTTCTCTCGTCGATGCTTCGCGCCGCGCCGCGACGCCGACGCCGACGCCGCGCTGTCGCGAACACGACGAACAGAGCGGTGAGTTTCTTTCGTCTTGCCTTCCTTCCGATACTTGGCTCTCATCGGTGCGATTCCTGACACGATTCGCTCGGCTCCGAACAACGAGCGTGATCATTTCTTTGACCCGAATTAACGCAATCGAATTTACTTGTCGACAATTCGTTAGAAATTGAATCTTTTTCTTTACTTGTTCGAATTAAATGTTTACGTAAAAAACTCTCGCAAATATTTACATACTATCGAGTGGTACGTGTTACGCAAAGGAAAAGATAGTCGACAAAGATTCAACGTTAAACGTCGTGAAACATCCCGAACTTGTGCTCGTAAGTACTTATCGCTCGGTCTACCGAACAATTTCCAACAATAGCGTAGAGATAAATGAAGTAGAACTTGTAGATGCTCGGCTAAAAATAGCCGTCATCATCGGAAGATAGAGTCGTTGGTGAATATATCAGCGTCGGTCGCACGATGCATCGCGACTTTGATAACGTACGAAACTGTTACGTGAACGATTTCGAGGACCGAAAGGATTAAATAAAAGTTTGAAAAAGGCGAGAGCATCAGAGTGGCTAAATGACTCGAGGGTGGTCGGTGCATTCCGTGCGTTCTTATACACCGCAACCGAGAGAATGAAACGTACGGAGCTTGAGCGAGAAAACTGAATTTAACGCGCGGATCGAGCTATTATTTAATGCCATCGCATCGAATGACTCGTAAAATATGCGCTACACGAAAATTAACATTCGTCCAAAGTTTCGTTGAAATCAGCATTCCAGATCAACGATCATCTCGTGTAAAAACACTTTTGGCAGTATCGATACCGTAACGCGACCATCAACCACTGTTGAGATCGATAAACAAGGCGTCAATCTTTTGACTCATCCTGCCATGATCGCGTCATTTTACCACCGCGACGTATACCCTATTCCGCATTCGGTGGTATAAACGCGAGCCCAAATTTCCCAGTCAACGGCAAAAATTTGCTTATACTCATCGGCCATCGCAACCCCTATTTATGGCGAACAACGTCGTACGGCATTGAACGCGTCACTTATTCGTGAAAATATTTGAAAATGTTACGAATAAACGTTTGCTCCGTTATGTTTAAATTAAAAAAAACCTCTGTAAATGATCGAAAAGTATCGCGTGGTATTAATGTCTTTTGTTAATTTTTAGTTGCGCTACCCTTGTCAAATGTTTGGGTGCGCCACTGTTCGTCAACCGTGGTCTCTACTCGGAAACGAAACGAAATAACGGTGCACGGTTATTTCCAAGACACTCGAATCGCATCGATCGATTCGACGAGAGAAACTGTAATCTGGTAACGAAGGTTCACGGTCGATGAAACAATTTTGAAAACTTACCGTGGCTTCTTCATGGCTTGTCGATCGGCCTAACTCGGCGTGTCACGTGTCTCGCGCGTACGTCATCGGCAGTCGTCTCATGGCATCCACGAATCACGGTCCGACGAGCACGAGCAAAACGGCGACTACGATCGAAATCGACCAATCGGTCGATCGAAAACAAAAATTCCCTAGATCGTGTTCGCGCGGCTAACGCCGCTCTCGATTATCGGTGTCTCCGCGCGTTGGCTGTTGGCACGCTACTTTTCTCTCGCTCCTCGTCGCATTAGATTCTCCGTTTCGGTCTTTCTCGCGTATCTTCCACGAAGGGACGTGCTGCACGGTATGGAACGCGAGAAGGAAAACTCTGGCAACGTCGCCTCGCTCACTCGCTCGGTCTTTTGCCTCTTCTTCTCTTCGTTACGTCGTCACTGTCGTTGTTCTCGTCGATCTACACCCCATGCCGCTCTATTCTTTTTCTTATTCTTCCACCCGTCGTTCACCGTCCGTCTATCCTCTTTCAATTTCCAACACACCGAGAGATCGCACACGTACGTACTCACACGCGTGTCCGAGGACGACACTGCGCGGCGTGCACTGGACGTAACGCACACCGACAGAGCCACGCTTTCGACGTGTACGAGTCGTGCGCACCACTCCACCAAACTATCGAAAGATTCGGTACTCCCCTTTTTTTCGATCGTAACCGGCGCCTACCAAGCATCGACGAATCTTTAGAAACTCCAACGTTCTCGGAATTCTCCACATTTCCCAGCGATACACATTCGTGTCAGGAACCTTCGATCCGACAAACTGGTGTATCACTCTGTCACTCTATCCTTGTCCGACTCCTGGTCCGTGCATGCGATTTGTCTCTCTCCGTTGAGACAGAACACGGTTCTTCTTGCTCACCGAAATCTTTTCTTTCCTCGAGACCAGGCACCGTTTCTTTAACTCTCGACAACGCTACGCGAGGCTCGTAACAAGGACACACCGAACGTTCTCACACGCGCGATGCCTCGCGCATCTCAAAATATTCCACCATGTTTCGATGTCACCTTCGGAGGTACTCTCACTTGCTGGCAGTGGCGGAAGCCATATTGTGATCGCTGTTCGTGACATCGCCAGAGCGCCAATCGGTGGATGGACAAGGGGGATTGCGCGCACTCCGATTGGTCGAGTGCACCTGTTACGTAGGCGCCATCTCGCGGGACCTTTGAATACCGAACCAACTTGGGCGTATTTATCGACGGATTGAAAAGCTAGAGAATCGACTGCCGTTCATTCACCGACCCTATCGTTTATTAATTAATCGACTCGCGTTGGGCACATTTTAATCGGAATAACGATCGATCGTTGCTATCGTAATCGACATACGCCGGAACAAATTACTCTACGAAATAATAATTATATTAGTCGTTGCATACGCGAAAGCTAATCTGTCGAAGCAATGGAGTGTTATGTATCAAGGAACCCAAACTACATATTCGTGTTTTCACTTTCACGTTTGTGTTTGAATTTCAAAGTTGATTCCACTTTAAGAAAACTCTATGCGCCACCGTTCAACACACACGCGATCAAACTTTGGCTCGAGGGAACGACTTTTACCGACGTTTCGAGTAGTTTCACGACTCGAATTCGTTCGTTAATTTCACGTAAATATGCATGCAAAAATATGACCTATCGATAACTACTAGCGCGCGTAACGCGCATGGCTCGTTGAAAACATCGAAATTCTGCTTTAATGCTTCCGACCGCATAGGAAATACTTGGCGACCGCACAAGAACAGAAAAAACAGGAAACACCAACATTGCGGTTTAGTCCAGTTTCGCGACGGAAAGTAGAGTATATCTGTTCGTAGCATGTCGAAAATGCGTTTGATGACAAGCAACGGTACTCGATAAACGAACAATCGAATACAACAACAACAACGCTACCCAGATTTAAAATTTTATCTATCGAAGCAATGTGAAAGATATCGAACCACTGTACTCTAAATCTTGCCGAAACGGAGAAACAGCTGTGTCGTTAAGACGAAACCAAACTTGTTTCAAATTTCGGAAACACGAAGGGAGCCTGTACCCCTTGCTATAGATAAGAAATGTTCCCAATCTCCGAGAGGTAGGAAGTAACATGAGTTCGCGAAGCGAGACGAGACGAGACGAGACGAGTCCAGTCGAGTCGAGTCGCGTCTAGCGCGCACAAACAAACCGTCGAGTGGATCGACATGGATTTACGATCCCGTGTCGTAAAACACGGATGAACTTTCCCCGTTTCTCCGGCCTACCACGGCTACCACGACGGACTTGGGACACACATGCGCGAATAGGTATGCAACAAGTCTACGCTACTTTGATCCATCTCGCGCACCGGCTCTTGTCCAGCTCGGGAGGTTTTCCATCGGCGAACGCGTAACAACACCTTCAAAAGTACAAATGAATACAACCAATGACGAAGTAGGTACTTTGTTTCGGAGCTGTTTTAATCGAAAATAAAAGTACCTACGTAACTTTGTTTCGCTTTATCCTGGAGATAGGATCAAACTTTGGACACCTACGGAAAAAGCTAGCAAGCTAGTAGGTAAATTAACGTTTATTAGTTAAAAAAAAGATAGAGAAAGAAAAAAGGTTAACTACCATTTGTATGGTGCTCCGTGCTTCTGTCTTGTATTCCGTAGCAGCCGGGAAAGTGGAAACGTACAAAGACTGTTACTGTTTCGATAAAATTCAAACTCGAATTCCAAAGTCTTTCGATTCATTTAATTGGAAACGCAACGGTGTAAATGTGTCGATTTACGATTGATCTCTATTCAGAGGTTCGATTGACGTTAGCCAGGTTAACTCGACGTGGCGAGGATCGAGAGATAGCGGAATACACGCAGAAAAGGACGTGCAACAAGTTCTCGTCGATGGCCTCTTGCAACGTTCCTCCACTTTCAACGTTGCCTACGTCACCGGTGACGCACGATTTCCGCTACGTCACGCGGACGCGCCACCCGTCGTCGCGTATCTCTCCTTTGGGTCCACAATGTAGGCGCTTCGACGCACCTCTCGATCAAAACCAAATCCCGATCCCGATACGTTCAACTTCCCACATAGGACATTCCTGACCTTTGCTTCTTTCAACTTCAAACAGGTCTTGGAGTACTCGAAATTCTTCCGCGGTCGTTCTTTCGCGTGGCCATTTTTGCCGCGACTGATCCTGTGCTTGCTAGCCTCTATCCAAGTAGGTAGATATGCAACCAATAATTTATTTCGAGAAGGCGCGTCGAAAGGTAGTAGGAAACCAACGGGATGGCTTATTTTCCGTCAGACACCGATCGATCGTCGGACGTCACACGTTTGTTTCGGTTGTTAAGTTTAAAGGGCTCGCGAAACGGATCTCGGATGTAATCCGACCTTTCGAAGAAAGCTATACACACTCGAATCGCTTCGGAGCTCGAATGTTCGATAAACTAGTTTATTCCAATGTATCGGCGAATTCTTGTTATTTATAATTGTTCAAGATTAAAATACACGGTAGATTCTCTTCTTCTTTAACAACCACTTTAAAGAATCGCGCAGTCAGGTAGCTTCTTTTTTTCGATAACGAGAAGAATCTGTTCCTGGGTGATGTCGCGTTTATTTTCCTGCTATCGGATAACCTGCGATCGGATTACCTCGAGACTTGGAGAAGAGAGCGCAAACTTGATGTTCCGGTCGAGTACGTTATCGACAAAATACACCTTCGACAAATTAATGGACTAACGCGGACTCCTCGAGCATCTTGTCCACGAGAAAAAGGATCGAACGTTACGAACGATCGGTAAGTTTCTCGCAGGATTACGAGGCCGATCGCTACTTCGTATCGTTGGGTACGAGGGTGAAGGTGAGAACGAGACCGAGACAGAGACAGAGACAGAGACTCGGGAGTGCAAACAAGAACCGCCCCGTCTGTTTCTAAACTTCTCCGTGCTTAACGGTGCGTTGGTATGAAGAGGGACGACGAACGGGGAAAAAGAAAAAACAGCGAGACGGAAACAGGGACGGAAAGAAAGAGGAAAGGGTGGGAGGGATAGAGTGGGTTCCTCTCTATTGATTTCCTGCCGAGGGTGGGCCAACGAAGGGAGGATTAGGTATCGGGTCTCTCGTTGCCGCTTTCTCTCTATTGCTCCATCTTCGTTTCTCCTTCCCCCCCGTTCCTCCTATTCTCTCCTGCGACGGTTCTGCGGTAATTTGGCGAGCAGCTGACCGAGTGCGACAGAGACGGAAAATCGTACGAGGGACGGACCAGCGTGCTGGAAGACGAAAAGAAAGAAAAGCTTTTCTCTGTCTTTCAAGTATACTACGCGGTATGCGCGTGTACTGGCCGCGGACGATTTTCCGCTGGTAGACGGAGTTAACGTAACACTGTTCCACGCGTTCGACTATTTGTCGAATACCGAATCGTTCGGTAGGAAAAGACTTACTTACTAAAGACAGAATTACTGGAACATGTATATTTTTCGATATAATAAATCTTTGCCTAGGCAAACGGTTACATAAACGTGCTTTAACCTTTAACCTTTAACTAAATCGATTGGTCGCGTTACTTGTGTTCTGGAAATGAATCGTTGCAAATAAATCACTATACGGTGTTTTCATTCGTCATCTATTTTGTTCGTAGAAAATGTTGACCATCATCTCGGAATGTGTGAAACCGACTTAACGCAACGTGGTACACAGCTGAACGTCGCGCATCGATGAGACCCGTGTAGCGGTGACCCTCCGGTGGTGGTAACGGAACGGTCGAGTGACGCAACACCGACACTCGTAGTGGTAACACAACGGCACGAGAGTATACACGTACTTGCCATAGCGCGCGCGTAGTCGCGTAACACGCGGTAGTGTAACCACGCGGGCGTGTGTTTGTGTCGTAACACAGCTCCCGCCGTGACTCGCGGTCGCGAGTGCCGGTGGTAGTCGTTGAAGCAGTAGTAATAGAAGTAGTAACGAACGTTCGGTGGAATGGTGACGGTGGTGGTGGTGGTGGTAGTGGTGGCGCTGGTAGTAAACTTGCGTACCTACAAGCGACGCCGACGTGACGTCAGAATCCGCGCAACATAACTCATGAATCCGCACCTCGTCTACTCCTTCGTCCCGCTCTCACCACCCTAACCGCTAACCCTCCCTCGCGCGTTCAGATAGTATCGATATTACTCCACTCCACGTGACGGACAAATTAATGGAGCAACCTCGTCAAAGGGACTCCAAGTGGGAGGCGCGTGTGTAGCTGCTCGCTAAACCGTGATTTCTTCTCCGAAATTTCAAGGGTCAAATTGTCCTGGACGATAGACCATAATTTTACATGATCGAGTTAAGACACGACAAACCATGCCCTTGTGATCTAACGCGATAGCGCGTTATACAATTGCTTCGTTTGATACACGATTTAATGATGATCCCGCGAATTACGCGAGTGTAACAAGACGACGAAACCCTTTTGAAGCTTCGACGCTTCAATTCGAGCCGATCCATCGATAACTATTTGATACCGGTTTGTTGCCGCTGCTACAAGCTCACATGCGCAGAAAACCAATTAAAGATGCTGCTGCGTACGAATACTTTGGCCGGAACCACGGGCACGAATTTATGAAGCGTATTCGCGCGGTTTATACGCTCGTTTCGTGTAATCCGCATTCTAACGTTTCTCGAACCGCATCGGTCCGAGTTTCTTCACTTTTTTCTCTTCCTTACTTTTTCTCATCGATAACACCATAAACGATGAGTCACGTCTTCTGCCGTGATTCTGCGCGAGCGAACAGACAAATGCGCGTAGAAAAACGCATTAATAAATATTCGTCCGAACCGGAAATTTTCGAAAATCGAAAGGAAGAAAGAATCGATAAAACGGAGACTTTCGACAATTGAGATTACGACGCGATTCTTACTCGGGATTCGTCGACACCGAAAACGACAGACAGTGAAGACAGCGAGGGAAAAAAGGTAAAGAAAAAGAAAAAGAAAAAGAAGCGACATCTTTGTCGCGGTAAAACGGTGGGATGACCCCACGCATACGAGACATTCTGCCTCCCGATGAGTATGTGGGTCGAGAAATGCCGCGCGCGCTAAATATATATCGGTGCATATACTCGCGCGTATCGAAACTGCTCGAGAGAGGCGAACGAGCGACCGGATAACGCGAGCGAGCAACCGTCTCTCCTCTCGAGAGCA